CTCCTTACACTGGGACGATTGGAGGCCTTGTTGAGCGTCGTGAGCCTGCGTCTCGTCCTGCGTCGCCAGTTCGCGCTGCTAGCACTAGTCGTCATTTTCCGCATCCGCGTCCTCCTCCTGTCCCCGGGACGCACCAGATGGCACTTCGTCCTTCCTCTGTTCCACTGCGTGTCCCTCTGCCGTCTCCTCCTGCGTCCTCCCTTGGTGACGGTCCGGACCCGGAGTCTGACTCCCTTCGTGCTGCTAGTCCTACTGTCACGCGTCTTCCGCCTTGTAATCATCAGCGTTTCTGTACTGTTTTAGGCCTTGTGCCTACCTGGCCTCACTTGTTACTTCTTGACTTTGCTTGTACTGTGATTTATATGCTTATACCTACATGCTTACACTTGCTAAGCTGTGATCACTGTACTGTTTGCTCTCCTTTATATATAACTCTGCATGTGAACTGGCCTTGTGGCCATTTGCTTGTGCTCAGATTGTGTGGTGACTTCGTGATCCACCCTAAGCTTGCTTTGCCTTTCTTGACTGGTCTTGTGACCTCTTGTTCTCCCCCACTTTGCCTATGGGGGTGTGTCAAAGTATGTGTTGCTTGTTGTGTAGGCTGTAGTGGGGTAGCCCATATGGGGTACAACCCAAATTAGGGTTTGTTACTTGTACCCATCCTGCTGCTAGTTCATTCATTCCTGTTCATTATCTGACATTTCCGACACGTCGATTCGGTGCAGAAGTTCTGCAGCAGAACAACAACGCTCAGCAAAGCACCGCGTGCTCCCACGTGAAGCACCCCTACCTCCCCCCACCTCCCCCCACCTCACCCACAACACTTAGTTGAAAATGGTCTCTAGTCTGTCAGCCTTAGTTTTCAAGTGAGGCTGATTAGACAACCTTTTTTTTTTACCAAGAGACTGATTTTTCAGCTTTTTTAAGGTACAACACTGACTGTTCAGCCTAGGCAAAAACGAATATGAGGCCTTGTAACTTATGCTACAGTGATGCATGTAGTACAAGGTACAGCCTTTCCTCTTGACATTCTCCTACATGTATCATATCCACTACTGGTTTAACATTTTGCTACGTAACTCATAAAATCATAATATTTAGTAGCGCCATGCTTGATGAAGTAAAGATTGACAATTGGCGTGAGTGATGCCACCTGACAAACTCTTAAGTATGAGTCATTTCGCGCCGTCTCCTGTATAGGAGGACAAGCCGCGATGTACTTTTCGGAATACAAACAACAAATAATAATTCATTCTAAAATTTCATTTTATGAAGTCCATATATTAAGACCTGGGTGTTTGTGCCAGATGTTAAGACTCCCCACCACCATTTTCTTTCCGTATTTATCATAGGACCCTAGGGTCTTATATTGGGTGATTACGGTATAGCTAGGTGGGGACCTCAGGAGTCTATATTGGGAGCTGGTCTGAGGAAAGTGTGGTGAGGCAGCCTCAGGGAGGAGGTTTTCTGACCGAGCCTGATCTTCCTAAAGTTGGGTCGTAATGCAATACATAGTGAAGGAACTAGTACATCCCGTAAATAGAATTGAAGTACATAAGAACATGAATTATGTTTCAACGCCTGATAGAGCAATGCTCCTTTCCCTTATTGAGCTAGATGGCGGGAACCACTAGACAGCTGACGTGTTCAGTAAACATGTTGTCACGTCAGCATGCCAACTACGTGTTGATCAGGCAACCTGACTTGCTAGTCAAGCACATCTGGTAAACCACATGCTTGATAGATTTTCACAGTACAGCGGATATTCAACAGTTTAGCGTGCATCGTTTTGTAATTTCCGCAACACGTCTCTCGTACACTCGAATAAGGAAACGACACATATTTTTTAGTACCATTCTGACGAACTGTATGATGAACATCATACATCAGGGGATATTACCTTTGTCGTCACGGGCAAATGTGGGATTGTAAATGGGAAAGTGAGAATGCTTTTGTAACTTGGTTAACATTTCTGAAAAGGACCAGCAACCCTTGATGTTTATGCACTGCAACCTCCATATGTCGGCTTCCGCAACTGCGACTGTACCCCTTGGGTTAGTGCCCGTAAAAACTTTCGTGAGTGAGAAAATCTCTTATTGAACTAAGCATTTTTGAGGGATAAGGTGAGCATCGATTGTACCCTAGGTCTACGACTTTCTGGCGAAGCACCTGTGGGGACATCTGAGGCTGATGAGACGGTTCGAATTTACGTTCAGGACACGGTTTCGAGACTCCCTGGGGAATTCCGAGAGCACTAGTCTTCCAAACCACTACCGTACAGTGTTTGCTTGCCCCCAGGTTTGTGCCTTCGGGACCCCGACCCGACCGTAATGCTCTTCATCGCCCCTACTTGCTTCTCTCTCACCTTAGTATTAGCGATTTGGCTGGGCTTCCCCTCATTCTTCTCCTTACCGCACTTCACGTTTCCCCCCTTCGCACCTCCCCCTCTACACTCCCTCGTATGTTGAGGGAACCGACGGACTGCGTGACTTTCCCCACCCCACTGACGAGGTGGTCGAGTTCGAGTCGGCCATTTTGCCACGCTCTTGGTGGACCAAAGCCACCCCCTCAAAGCTGGCCCCGCGCAGGGATGAAATGCTATTGGACGGATTTGGATTTTTGTTTTCTGCTTATCTGCAACAGGGTGGAATCTCGACCGAAGTGACCATTGAGAGGGTACAGTAAAAAGCTGCTGCTGAAGTTGAAGGGAGGGTATAAAAAGCTGCTGTTCAGAAGTTGTCACCCACAGAACTCGTAAGTATCCATGACACTCGCAGCTAAACCAGTAGCAGGCGAAAAACGCATGGAGAAATTTCAAATTGAATGGAAGTGTCTGCGCTGAGGATGGGATGGGGCCAAATCAACTATTCTGTTCCGAGTTCGTCTGACGTGTTTGAATGCGTTTGATCACGTTCGAGCGCGGTTTCCGGCTTTCACGGCTTTGGCCATTGCGTTTCCAGGATGAACATTCAAAACAACACGGAACATAAAAAGTATGACCCGCCCTCATTCTTTCAAGAAAACTCTCGGACTCCCTTGAAAGGCACAGTGCCACAAGCGCGACTGTGTACCTTCCGTTCCTCCACACCAGACCAGAGGCGCACTTTCCTTCGCAATCTGTGATCCCCATTCCAACAGATAAACAATCATCTGTCACTCCAGTGTTTCCAAACCACCAAGAAAAGCCTTTCTTTCTGCTCTCTCCTGCTTTTGCTCCAACCTCTACTGGTGCTCCACTTTCGCCATTCCATGGCTCACACCACGCCCATGCGCCGCCTCTCCCGTCCCCTGTCACTCCTCATCGCCCTCCTCCTCGCCGCCTCGCCCAGCTTCACAGCTCAGAACATAACATCCCCAGACGCGCCGGTTAACGCCCTCGTCCCTGCTGCTGATGCCCGCCCCGTGAGTGCGAGCGCGGTGGGCACGATGGGCGACGAGGAGGGGTTCTATATGGAGGAGACCCCGGCGATCAAGCAGCTGGTGTCGCGCCTGGAGCGCATCGCGGGCTCCATAAAAAACCCGTGGGAGGTGCTGCTGCACCTCAACGAGCTCTTTGCCACCAGCCCCAGTGGCGGCGGCGGCAGCGCAACCATGGGCGCGGGCACGGTGTCGCCTCTGGCAGATGGGTGCCCCGCCACGGCGGCGCAGATGACCAAGGAGGTGTCGCGCCTGGCGTGGCGGCTGCATTTCCGCCCCATCAAGTACACCATCATGGCGCGCTTCTTCAGGAACCTTGCCAACAACGCCAGTGAGTTGCAAGGCTTGCTGCAGCATGCGCGTACTATGTTCGAGTGGTTTGTTTTGCTGTATCATCTCTTGCTTCTTTATCAAGTCCCCGGCCGTTGACAAGAACCGCAACCTTGTGTGTGCGCGTAGAGAATAACAACGCGGACCTGACGTATCTGGGGTGCCGCACGTACTTCATCCCGTCCAACTTCGCGCTGATGAACGTGATCGCCAAGGGCGCGGGTGACGTCAGGTACCTGCTGCTGGCGCCGCTGTACAACATCATCAACGGCACGTACCACTTCGACAAGCTGCGCCGTCTGCCGCACGGCGCCACCATGCCGACCTTCATCCCCGACTACCCCATCGCCAAGTACTTCACGCCCATCACGCCGCTCGCGCTCATCACCTTCGGCGGCTCCATCGTCGCCGTCGGCACGCCGGGCGCCAAGACGATATTCGCGCGGCTGTCGTGGGCGCAGATTAAGGACCGCGACATCCACTGCGGGAAGTACCTGGCGGCGCACGGCGTAAGCACCATGGTCATCCCGCGCGTCAAGCTCAACAACTGACCCGTGCTGCGCGCGCCTGTGCTCGCTGACGACGCGGCGACGCGCGCAATGCGTGGTCGCCGTGTGGCTCGTGGCTTGCTTTTGACTGGGGCAATTTAGAACGTCTCGGTGGTTTGGGGACTGCGGGGTTTGGGAGGGTGGTGGTGTGTGAGAATTTTCAGGTGTGTTGAATCAACCTACTCTTGAGGTTCCTCAAACATTGATTACTCAGTGCTTGAGGCTCCTCAAGAGCTGGCTAGGGGTTAGGGCACCGGGGGTATTTCGCCAGTTGTTTGGCCTTGTGTGGCGTGGAGACTGCTTTTAGAGGTGCAAAACCATTTCAGCTTACGGTATTATAATTGCGGACGCCCATCATGTGAGAAATCCCAATTTACATTAATTGGGAGTGTTGACTGCAGTCTAAAGAAGAACAGTTGGATTGGGACCTGCGCCCGGGTCCTGTGGCCCAGGGTTTAGTGTGAAAGCAAATCAGATCATCTGCAAATAGAATGTGATATGATGAACCACAACAGCTACGGTATTTTCTTCAATCAAGAATCTGAGGGGGGCCTCCAAGTTCACCTTCTATTCAGATCAAAAGATTGGATACTACAATAGATGTGCACCCCATAATACATCTCTTTCACCTTTTCAACCATTACCACACTTGGGACCAGCCCTAAGATAAGATATGTACATACATACAGAACCAATCTGAGGGAATCACGTCTCTGTGAGCTGCAGCGCATCCAAGTAGAGCCCATCCTTCCACCACCCACTCTCCGTCTCCCACAGCCGCATACTCAGCGTGGGAGCCACTGCCGTCTCCCGTGCGGTTGCCCCCCTAATAGTCACACGGCCTGCAGGCAGGGTGGTCCAGTCAGGCAGCATGGCGATGGTGGCAGTGGAGATTCGCAGCTGCCTCTGCTCGCCCCCCCCTCCCCCAGCACACCCCTCCTCCCTCACGTTGCTCCACGCGGGGTGCCCCACCCACTTGAACCAGCACCGCTTCTCCACGCGCCTCCATGCCTCCCTCCTCCGCTCCCAGTCCACCTGCTGCTCGCTGCTGTGCTGGCCCTGGTTCTCACTGCGCCGTGCCTGCACGCCGGGCTCGCGCCATATCAGCCGCCGCACGGCCCCCACCATGTGTTGGAACGGGTTTGCTGCACCGCCGCCGCCGACGCCCGCTTGCGAAACATTTGCTGCTTCAGGCGTCCTTCCCAAACCTGGTGCCTGCTCTCCGTCTTGCACCCCTCCCCTCCCGCCCTCCAACTCCACCTCGCCATCCTCGTCCTCCTCTTCGCTCTCCTCGTCATCCTCCTCGCTCTCGTCCCCACCTGCGTCCAACAGCCCCACACGCCTCGGCTGCGCGCCTGCTGCCCGTGCGTACTCGTCGTGCGTGGGGTCGCGGGCGACACGCCATGCCACGTCGTACACCCCGCAGCGCAGCGGGAACGGCAGCGCGACGAGCGCGCTGGCCTCGAGCCAGCACACAGTCAGCAGGTGCGGCACCTCGGGGAACACCGCGCCAGTGGTACTCCGCGTCTCCATGTGCCAGTAGCGACGGTCGTCCATCCACGTAATCGCGCACGCCTTCGCTATACTCACGCTCACAGTGAGCTTGGCGGTATTGGGGTCCATGCGCGCGTGAAACACCCCGCCGTGCAGCAGCACGCCCCCGCACAGCTCGCGGCACCACGCGCGCGGGTGAGGGTGGCGGGAGGCGAGCGGCAACGCGGTGAAGCACGCGTGCTGGCAGAGGGCGGGCAGCACGCGCATCCACGCCACGGGGGGCGCCGCAGCAGCGCGCCAAGCCGAGCAGACGAATGCACATCGGGCAATGAGAGCGGGAGGTAGGAAGGAGAGGACGCACGCGAGGCAGTCGTCAGGCAGTTCCGTCACTCTTGTTGCGGCCGTCATTCTCTTAGTGGGAAGAAACTCGACAAATCGTACCGCGCCTGCTGCCTAGCTTCGCGTCACTAATTGCATATGAATGTCTGACTCTGTCGAACATTCAACGCAGTATGGCACAAAAGTGTGATCCGTGAGATTCCTCCTGACAGAAACTGTGTGGATGACGTGTTGGACACTCAGCTTCAGAAGTCATGTGGTGGGAATGAAACTGTGCGGTGGCGTCCACGAGTTTCTGCGGCCTTGGCGAGCTTGACGAAACGTAACAGCATGCAACGAAGCAGTAAGATTGCCTCCGGTTATCTTTCGCAAGCAGCAAAATCTCAAATTGATTGGAGGGCGGAAGTGGCTTGGTCGGAACTTGGGGGCGAATCGAGGTTGCCCTGCGGCTGCCAAACCGAACTGCTAGACAGGGAGTACAGTACTAGTCCTTGACATCGTGTATCATAAGCCATGGCAACAATCTAGGTCGTCTCGAGACGACAGCTTATGGACACATCATCGAGTAATGTTCTACACGTTAGACTTGTGTGGAAACAAACGGTTGGTCGCGCTTTTCCAATCACATTTCTGATTGGACATGGTCTCCCATCCCATCCTGACAACAACCAACCTTTCCAGACGGCGTATTGACGGTCCTGGGATGGCAGCAATCGTCGAGCACTTCTCCATCCCATACGACTGAACATGATTGGATGTTCGGAACCATGGTCACAATGGCAGAAGCCTCGCATGGCTCGGGGAAAGGATGCGTCGCATAGCGTCGTATGAATTGAAAAGCGTCGCATGGTTGGGAAAGCTTTTCGTGATGATAATATCCCATTGGCCTCGCGATCGCAGCTTACTCAGCGATCGCGAGAGTCCGTTGAGTGATCGTCCAGAGAGTACTTCTACCGGCCTTCCGCCTCGAGTGAATGCGACGGATCTGAATTCGAGTGAATGCAGTGCTGCCACAACCCGATTATATAAGCAGATTTGATAACATCTTGCCGCATCCGGCATGGCTTTCGAGATAATTTCAGAATCCCAGCTGGTCTGACGAGCTGTGGATGCTATTATAGCCGTACGAGTGGAAGTGGCGAGACCGTCGGATGCGTCACGGATCAAGAAGATCGCTTGAATAACAAAAGAATTGAGCTGATTGCATCACACGTGGACGTCTTTCTTGCAGTTGCTCCCGTCGAGCTTCCGTTATCGGCTTCCTACTGAATCTGCCGCTGCGACTGCTGCTCTTACGACGGAATTGGACCCCATGGAGCCCAGCTGCATGCAAGGCGGCGCACACAAGCCCAACAGACGAGCTTCACCAGGGGTGGGCGGAACAGGGTTGAAGTGCCTTGACTCTGATGCTGGCAGCAGCAAGGAACAGGAAGATGAAGAAGAGGGAATCGAGTGAGAAACACTTGGTGCAGTCCGTTTGGGAGTTGGAAGAGCAGTTACAAGGTGTGGATGCGATGCGGCGGGCACTTGAGAACGAGTTGAGTGGACTGAGACAGCTTGATGGGGCACACGGAGGGGCAGCAGGGCGAGCGGGAGACGCTGTGCGAGCGACACGCTTGCCACAGTCCTTTCAGGAGGTGGAGGAGCGGATGGAGAATATTGAGATGCTGCAGAGGGATCTCCGTTCTGCACTCCAGATTGGCCCGACTGAAGCAGATCAACTCGATAAGGAAATCGGAGGAGGCGCAGAGAAAGCAAGAGCGGAGGAAAGTTCAAAAGTGCTTGAGCTGCTATCGCATGCGGACATGGTTCACTACTTGGACGTGACGAGTGGGTGGGATGAGGACTTGTGCGCGTGCTGCTTTGACCGGGCTGTGAGCCAGCGAGCACGGCGAGCACTCGCCATGAAGAACCTGGAGGACCTGCGTCGCCACCTGCGCAAGCAGCAGCCTCGTTGCATCCCCGCAGCCACCCCGGAGCAGCAGCGGCACAACCAGGCCGCTTTTGAGGCGTCTAAAGGGACAGCTCCGCAGGCGCTACAAGAGGGACACAGGATATACCCTCAGGCGCAGTTTGGGTCAAAGCCAGATAGGGCGCCTCGCCTCTGTGCGGAAGCCATGGTGCTCGAGTGGATGGCTGAGCCGCGTGTGGGCGTGCTCATGGACCTGCGGACCATCAGATCCCGCCTGCCTGCTATTCTGTGTGCCACTACTGCTGCTGCATCGTCTTCTCCCGCTCCTGCTCCTCCTGATCCTCCTGCCCCTGCTGCTGCTCCAGCGTGGTCCTGCTGCTGGCGCTGCAGCAGCTGCTGGGGTGCCTACCGCCGTGCTGTCAGCTTCGCGGCGCTCCTTGTGCTGGTGGCGAGGTCGCCCCGCCTTGTAACTCTCTGGAAGGCTCACTTGCTCTCGTATTCGTCTGCCTGGCCAGAAATTGTAACTGAGCTGGGGGCGCGCAGGCAGAGGGAGAGTGACAGTTTTGCGTCCATGCTGGTGCAGGTGCTGGGGGTGAAGGAGCGCGCTGATCTGAAGGAAGGGTTTGGGTTCTTCGTGCAGCATGTGCTGTCAGGCAGGGTGGAGGAGGCTCATGCTGAGGGGAGGGGGGGCGCCGGGGGGATGGCTGCTGAGGAGGGGCATGAGGAGGGGAGTGGGAGGGGGGAAGCTGAGGCAAAGGCTGCTGAGAAGACGCATGGAGGGGGGAAGGGCAGATGCGAGGCATCACATGGGAAGGACGATGGGAGACACGGCGAGGACGAGGCAGGGAGCAAGGTAGCGATTGACAGGGTTGCTAGCAAGTGCGGGAGGGATAGCAAGGACTTGAGTTGGAGGGAGCATCTGAAGGGGCGTGTGTGGGAGAGGTATGTGGATGGCATGGCTTGCATTCTGGAGCATGGAGGGGGGGAAGGGAGGGAGTTCCGGTGCAGTCACTGCAGTGAGGGCGGCAACAGCAGCAGTGGTGGCCGTGACAATGGCAGCAGAAGCAGCAACAGCAGCGTCAGCAGTTCTGGCAGTGTTCCGAAGGGTATGAAAGTGAGTGGTGTGAATGCGACCGATTTCGCACTTGCGGTGACCACAGTATTATCTAGACCAGAGCACTGGAAGGATGCAGAGCTGTGCTTCCACGATGGCAACACTGCGAGCAAGATGCAGGTCGAGAGTGCAGCCATTCAGGTGGCCGGGAAGAGGCTGCTGCAGCAGCGCTTGAAGCAGAGAAGAGGGATGGATGGAGTAGCAGGAGCAGGTGTACAAAGAGCTTCGCCTGCTCCTGCGACTGCAAGCGCTGATATGAATGCTCGACTCCTGCTTGTCAATGGGGTCAAGCCTGTCAATACCAACTCTGTGGTCGCTGCATTCACCTATCGGGTTGCTTGCATTTTGCAGTGGGTCCGAGTCTACGGCTCAGATTCCACCTCGGAGGAGCATTGCTTCACTGAGCAAGGCTCTCATAGCAATGTCCTGCCCATGCGCCACCCGCTTCGGGACCTTCCGAGCCTTCTGGTCAGGTTTGGCGCCATCCCCAGGCCTCTGGAGGGAAGCAACAATTTGTTGGAGTGGGAGGAGTGGCCTGGGGGCGACGAAGCGGCTGTGAAGTTCCCTGTGAGCCGAAAGGAGAGGTGTTTTGGGCTTGGAATCGTGGAGTTGCGTGGCGAAGTGGCTAAGAAGCTGACCCAGCACCCTCCTCAGCACACGTGTGAAGCAGGAAAGAGTCGCCGGCGTGCAACGGAAGAAGGAGCCAGGCAGGAAGCTGAAGAGCGCCGAGCGTGTGGGGTAGCTGAAGCAGGATTGAGCAGCACAAGTGCACGGAGGACAGTATGTAAGACAGTTAGGAAAGGACGTGGGGTGGAAGTGGTGTTGAGCAGAGCAAAGGGGGATAGGTGAAGCAGGTCGAAGCAACGAGCTGAGAGTAGCACTGCCGCCCCCCAGAAGAAAGCTTCCCATCATTCGCTGCCAGGCAGATGTCGAGTTTCTAGTGCAGGTGGCTGGGGCCGTGATGGACCCTCCTGCATGCGCGCACTGCAAGCAATGCTCTGCTGACTTCATGCAATACGCGTGCACCGTTGCTCTCATCGCCAACTTCGCCTACCGCCCCGTGAGCCACCTGTTCTCGCGCGTGCTCTCTGTCTTCCCTCTGTCCTCCCCTGGCCGGGACGAGCTGGTGGACTGCCTGGAGTTCCCTGCTCGCCTGCCCCGCCCGCTGAACCTGCACCTGCTGCTCAGGCGGGCCGAGCAGGTGCCGCTCTACTTCCTCCTGCACATGGCCATCTGGTGCGCGCAGCCCCTTCTGCACCGCACTGAGTTCACGGGCTATGATGACACCGGGACAGGGCAGGCCGTGGGGTCAGGTGCGAGCAAGGGAGATGAGAAGAAAGGGGGGAATGGTGGCAGGGTGGAGGTGCAAGGCCACTGGGACGGTGAGGAGGATCAGGAGAACGGTGGAGAGGTGTGGGAGGAGGTGCGGATGTGGTATTCCGCAGCAATGGCTGGGTGGAGGTTTAATGTGGGGGACGAGGGAGAGAGCGATGAGTGCAGAAATAGCGGGAAGCGGGCGAGTGTGGATGAGGACTGCAACATCAATTGGATTCTCAGGTCAGCTATCACCCCGAGGTACTGTGAGCGGCTGCAGGGGCAGCGTGAGTCTGCCAATGGTAGCAGCAGCACTGGCAGCAGCAGCACTGGCAGCAGCCGCAGCAGCACTGGCAGCAGCAGCAGCAGCACTGGCAGCAGCAGCACTGGCAGCAGCCGCAGCAGCACTGGCAGCAGCAGCAGCAGCACTGGCAGCAGCAGCAACAGCACTGGCAGCAGCCGCAGCAGCAGCAGCAGCAGCGGCACTGGCAGCAGCCGCAGCAGCAGCAATGGCAGCAGCAGCAGCAGCAGCAGCAGCAGCAGCAGCAGCAGCAGCAGCAGCAGCAGCAGCAGCAGCAGCAGCAGCAGCAGCAGCAGCAGCAGCAGCAGCAGCAGCAGCAGCAGCAGCAGCAGCAGCAGCAGCAGCAGCAGCAGCAGCAGCAGCAGCAGCAGCAGCAGCAGCAGCAGCAGCAGCAGCAGCAGCAGCAGCACTGGCAGCAGCGGCAGCAGCAGCACTGGCAGCAGCAGCAGCAGCACTGGCAGCAGCAGCAGCAGCAGCAGCACTGGCAGCAGCCGCAGCAGCAGCAGCGGCAGCGGCACTGGCAGCAGCCGCAGCAGCAGCACTGGCAGCAGCCGCAGCAGTAGCAGCAGCAGCACTGGCAGCAGCAGCAGCAGCAGCAGCAGCAGCAGCAGCAGCAGCAGCAGCAGCAGCAGCAGCAGCAGCAGCAGCAGCAGCAGCAGCAGCAGCAGCAGCAGCAGCAGCAGCAGCAGCAGCAGCAGCAGCAGCAGCAGCAGCAGCAGCAGCAGCAGCAGCAGCAGCAGCAGCAGCAGCAGCAGCAGCAGCAGCAGCAGCAGCAGCAGCAGCAGCAGCAGCAGCAGCAGCAGCAGCAGCAGCAGCAGCAGCAGCAGCAGCAGCAGCAGCAGCAGCAGCAGCAGCAGCAGCAGCAGCAGCAGCAGCAGCAGCAGCAGCAGCAGCAGCAGCAGCAGCAGCACTGGCAGCAGCAGCAGCAGCACTGGCAGCAGCGGCAGCAGCAGCACTGGCAGCAGCGGCAGCAGCAGCGCTGGCAGCAGCAGCAGCTTTAGCAAGCAGAAGGGAAAGAAGGGGGAGGAGGCGGACTATCTGAGGCCCTGGCCTGGGGGAGTGAATCTGGTGGCATGTCTGCGAGAGATGCTGCTGGGGGAACCCTGCTACCGCCCTGCCTCCCCTGCTACCCCTCCCACCACTGCCTCCCATGCTGCCCCTTCCGCACCTCCCGCCCCTTCCACCCCTGCTGCTTCTTCCACGTATATTGCTGCAGCCATGTCTTCTTGTGCTGCCGCCTCTCCCACCCTTGCTGCAACGAGCATCCGTGCTGCTGCTGCTCTAGGCGTGGAAGGCAGTGAGAGCAGTGCTGTTGTCACACTTGGTTCCGATCCTGCTGCTAGTGGGGGGCATATGTGTGGTGCTGCGGGGTGTGGAAGGGCGGAGGGTGGTGGTGTGAAGCTGAGGAGATGCAGTGGGTGTGGCAAGGTGGCGTATTGCAGCAGAGAGTGCCAAAAGGCGCACTGGCCCTCCCACAGGCTCACATGCCCCGGCAGGACCAGCGGGAAGAACGGTGGGAACGATGGGGACAGAGAAGGCTGCTATAGAATTGGCAAGGCGAGTGGTTGTGATGGCAGTGGCAGGATTTGTGAGGAGGGTGGCAGGATGAATAGCGAGGTTAGTTCCACAGAGAGGCGCATGCACAGTGCTGGGCACTGTGAGAGTTGTGAAGAAGGTGGCAAGGGCAAGGGAAGGAAGGAGGAGTGAAGGTGAGAGGGGAGGTCAAGGGGAGTGCCCTGTGTCCCGGGGGTAGTGGGAACTGATCGTGAATGCAGGAAGGGGAACGATGGAGATTGGCTGTGAATAGAGCGGCTATGGCATGAGCATTACAGCAGATGATGCGCACGTCTCCACTATTGAGGAACGTGGAGTAGTGAAGTAAGCATGTGCATGAAAGGGTAGAATGATCAGGAATGACCCCCGTACCAGTCGTCTTTCCTACTCTCTCATAGCACATGCTGGCTTTGCATGCCAAATGGTGATGTTCAGTGTACAGTGCAGCAACATAACTCTCTGACATACAGCCTTCTGAAGATTGTGGTTGGATTCAGTACAGTACATTTGTCGCAGAAGAAGGCTGGTGGCTAGCCATCTCCATATCGACGTGATGCTGCGATGCAACACTCGTGACAATCCCACATGTAATAAGAAGAAGGTCAAGAGAAGGAGGGCCAAGGACGCTGGAAATGCTGAATGCGGATGTAGGTTGCAGAGTGGAATGGAATCGAATGACCCACACACGTGGAAGAGCAGAGCGGAATGGCACTGATGGCTGGGTCCTCCTTGAAACGGAAGATGTCAGATGAAAGAGGCTTTTGGCAAGCACACGCATGCCACAACACAAGGCGATATCCCTTGCGTACTTCTTCATGTGTGAATGACGTGTGGCATACAGCTGCAGGTTGCACGTGAGAATGGAATGGAAGTGGAAGGCGAGCAGCTGTGATGAAGGGCAGAGATGGAACAAGAGTATGGCAATGATGACCTGTGGCTCCTCATTGCCTCGACATGAGCGCATGATGCCGCGCTGCGACCACAACAAGATGAACCCCACACACTGGATGCGCAGCAGCGCCTGCATGCATGCACGGCAGAGCGCGGTGACGGGATGAGTAGGAGAGAGGGACAGCGGAAGAAGTGGGGAAGGGAGGGAGGGAGGGAGGGAGGGAGGGAGGGAGGGAGGGAGGGGAGGAAGGGGAAGCAGGTGAGGAAGGGAGGGGGTGTTAGGGGCGGGAGAGGGCAGAGAGATGGAGATGGCATGGTATACCAACGAGGGTCGTCCCCCTCAGCTGCGTCGCACTTACCGTCTTGCCTTCCACTCACCTGCACAACGCACATGCATGCTGCAAGCACGGGCAGCAGGAGGCCACCAGGAACAGAATGTGAGGGATGCGATTCTTGGTGACGCCCACTGGGGCTTGCTGCTAGGTGGAGGGGAAGAGAGAGGAAGCACGTGTAGCACGGAGGGGGAGAAGGGGAAGAGGGGGTTGCAGGCACGGGCGGGGATGCAATTGCTAACGTTGTGCATGGGTGTCGTGTCGGTGTGGCTCTGTGATGGCGACTGCGCATCCCCACGTGCGTGGTGAGCATGGCAGCTGTTACATGTGCGAGGAGGCAGCGCGCACATTGTGCGTGGGTGTGGACGGCACAGAGCCGTGGGGTGTGGCGGAGAGGGCGTTGCAGGGTGAGGAAATGGGCTTCCCCACCAGGGCCTATTTTTGGATTTTAGGTACTCTGATTTCCAGAGTAGTTTTTTTCCCAACTCTGAAATCTAGGGTTGTTCCTGCGCCTTACTCTGATTTGTCAGAGTAACCCTATACTTTCAAAAAAAAACCCAGGCACGTCAGAGTAATATTTTTCTCTACTCTGATGTTAGTTAAGTTTGGTGTACCATGACTTTAATAGGTTTTTGTTACGCCTTTTGTACTTGCATTTCCGCGTCGCCCACGTTTCCCCCCTCACTGCGATGTTTCAGAGTGAGGTGTTGGCGGCACCGATAATCTGACTAAGGGCGTGTCCGAAGTGAAACGTCAATAGATGTCGCTGGATGTCGGTAAATGTCATCCCTCGGATCGACAGTTCCAACCGTCAGGATTTACCGACATCCCCAAACGGATGTCCACGGATGTCGACGTTTCACTTCGGACACCCCCAAAGAGCGTGTCTGAAGTGAAATGTCGACGGATGTACAGTTTCGTCGGGGAATGCTGGCGAATCTCAACCCTCGGATTGAGCGTTCCGACCGTCAGGATTCCTCGACGTCCCTCAAAGTTTCGTCGGGAAACGTCGACGTTCACTTCAGACATAAAGAGAGAGGGGACTGGCTGGCATCGTGCGCTGGTTGGGAAAGTTGTCAAACTACGGTAGCCAATCAGTGCTCATATTGCCGCCAACACACGACAGAAATCAGGAGAATGATCTCGACGATTCGGGGAAAACCCGCTAAACGCAGGGGGAGGTGGGGAGGGGAGGGGGGCGGGGGAGGGGGGGCCGGCAGGTATTCCCTATACAGAGTAAATTCGGTCCCCGAAAAAAAAACCCAGAGCCCTCAGAGTAAACTACAGCATAACTCTGACAAATCAGAGAAATCGGAAGTCCCAAAAAAATTACCCAGCGGGTACAGAGTTACTTTCAAAAATGACTCTGATTTTCAGAGAAACAGAGTAATTTACTCTGAAAACGTGAGGCCTGTTCCCCACTGCAGGTGCCGCAGGGAAACGCATTCGCACGAGGATTGGTTAGTGAGAGCCATTGTGACATGATGCAAGCGGGGATTTGTGCATCTCATTGATTATAGTCTTCCCAAACTAACTACAAATGAATTCACTTGTGGACAGAGTTCGTTCCGGCCAGAGTAATTTCACCTCTGCACAAACTAAGATCATTTCCCTTACAAATGCAATGCTCCAGCATTTCCTCGTCAGAAGTGCCAGAACTATATGCAGATGGTTTTACAGTTCAGTTGTTCTCGCCGAAAACAAGCAGCTTGTGGAGCACAGTTCTCCACCTTCAGCTAACCCAACAATGTCGAGAGTATAGGGAAAAGGTGGTTGCACTATCGAGAAAGTTGGGTACAAGTAACAAAAACTATACCCTACATTAGCTACCCCACTAAAGCCTACATTTTATTATGACATATGTATATAATTTGACACACCCCCATAGGCAAAGTGGGGGAGAGTAAGGGGTCACAAGACCAGTCAAGAGAAGCAAACCAAGCTCAGGGTGGATCACAATGTCACCACACACACTGAGCACAAGCAAAGGGCCACAAGGCCAGTTCACATGCAGAGGTATATATGCAACAACAACAGTACAGTGATCTCTACCTAGCAGAGCAAGCATGCAGAGTATATATATATAGATCACAGTACAAGCAAAGTCTACAGCAAGTGAGGAAAAGTGGGCACAAGGCCTAACAAAGTGCAGAAACGCTGATGATCACGAGACGGAAGTGCTTTGGTAAATATATCAGCAGTGTTGGCCCGAGTGGCCACGTGAGCAAGACGAAGCTGACCACGCTGCTGCAACTCTCGAGCCAAGAAGTAACGCAGAGCGATGTGCTTCGTTCTGTGCTCCAGTCTGTGCTCCTGACACAAGGCAATGACGGCCTTGTTGTCTACGTACAGCACTGGAGGAGAACGAGGCCGCTCTCCCAAGTCGGTCAGCAGGTAGGTGAGCCAGCGTAACTCCTGTGCAGCCATGGCTGTGGCGTAGATCTCAGCCTCACAACTGGAGCTGAGAACTGAAGACGAGCGTGTAGAACGCCAAGAAACTGAACCAGAGCCAAGGCTGAAGGTGTAACCCTGTGACGACCGCTGCGTAGCCTGGTCGTCAACCCAAGAAGCGTCGAAGTGACCAGTGAGGACAACGTTGCCCCGTCCTCCAAGCACGAGCCCCATGCCCGATGTACTGCACAAGTAGCGCAGTACCCTCTTAGCAGCATCCATGCGCACCTTTCGGTGCTGACCAGGAGCCACGTAGCGAGCCAAAAGGCCAAGAGGGTACGCGAGGTCAGGTTGAGTGCAGGTCATCAGGTACATGAGGCAGTCAACTAGCTCTGGGTAAGAACCACTCGGCTCTACGGACTCGTCCGAAGGTGGAGCTGAGAGCGAGTGACTTGTAGCCAGAGGAGTGGCCTGTGCCGAGGACCAGGTGAAGCAGAAGCGCTGAAGGACCTGCTGCACCATGTGTGACTGAGTCAGGGTGATGGTGCGGCGTGCTCTGTCCCGGGTGATCTGCAAGCCAAGGTAACTGCGCAGCTCACCCAGGTCTGTGCACGTGTGTCTCTTCTGCAGCTCCGACTTCACCAGGGCGAGAGCCTCAGTGTCAGCAGTGGCAAAGACTAAGTCGTCGACGTACACGAGGATGTAGAACGGCGGCAGCGAAGTTTCGGTGCGCAGAAACAACGACGGGTCAGCAGTCCACGGAGCAAACCCAAGAGCCGCAAGTGTCGTCCTCAGTGTGTCGTGCCACTCACGTGGCGCCTGGCAGAGACCGTAGACCGGCCGCCGGAGGCTCCACTGGGTACCAGGAGGGAACGACCCAGTGAAGCCAGGAGGGCGGCGCAGCCAGATCTCCTCGTGCACGCTGCCCTACAAGAACGCTGTGCTGAAGTCAAGAGAGTGAAGCTCGTAGTCACGCTGAGCGGCAACGTGCAGCAACACCTGAAGAGTGGTCATCTTCGGGGTGGGGGAGAAGGTATGGAAGAAGTCAACTTCCTCTCGCTGACTGAAACCTCGAGCAACGTAACGATCCTTGAAGACAGGCGGAGAACCTGGCGGCCACTTCACCCTGAAAATCCACACGCCATCGACGATGTTCGCCCCAGGGGGGGGAACCTCGTCAACGTAAGTGCCTGTGGACTTCCAGGATGCCATCTTTGCGTCCATGGCTGTCTGCCACTGAGAGGAGTACTCACCCGTGATCGCCTCAGCGTAAGAGCGCGGGGTCGGGATGTCTGGAGCATCCGAGTCTCCCTCAGGGGCAAGTGGCATGGACACGAGATGAGGCGCAGCGACTGCAAGACACTCAAGGTCCTCGTGCCTGTCGTCAAGGACGTCCGTGCCAAGAGCACACTCACCCCCGACGGATGGAGGACAGTCAGACTCAGACTCAGCAACAAGACTAGCGGCGTAGTTTAGTCGACAGGCAGCAGCAAAGTCAACAAGCTCAGCGACTAAGGCAGACGCAGCAGCAGACTCAAA